AATAGTGCAATATTTTCAATTTATTCTGAAATTGTCAGGTATTGAGCGACCACTTAAGGGTGGTGATAAGGAATTTAAAGTCATTTTTGTTGCTCCGTAAGCATTAGCTATCATTATGATGAAATGTCAGATAAGTAAGGCTCATTGAACCCTAACAACACACTTACTAAATGAGGTGTTATCGTCCTCATTTAAAAGAGGAGAAAATCCAGTGCCTCCAAGTTCATTAAGTTGCTGAGAACTATACAACTGGTATAGGCAGTGGAGCTGGGATTTGATCCTGGATTGGGTTACCTTTAAAGCCAGAGTTTTCCCTACTCTATCAGGGAGGCTGAGGTAGCACAGTGGTTGGAGTGCCCTCTGGCAGTCTGGAGGAGCACCACCTTTCCCAGATCACCCCTGGTCCTCTGGAGTTAAAGCAGAGGAAGAAAACTCGGTCAGATAAGACTTCCCCAGCTATCCCTGCTGCTGCTCTGTAGAGGTTACACACATGACTTTGGATCAAATCAATGGCAACGGTGAGCAACTGCTTTTTACATAGAAGCCAAGTCAGCAGCTAGGGTAGGAATAGCACTTATTTTCAGCCAGCATTTCTCATTCAAATACCTTTTTCAAATTCCATGGTGGATTAAAAAAAAAGGTTTTGTTGGTTTGTTTAGCAGTATTAGGCAGCATTTGTTATGCTCCTGATTTTGTGGATCTGGGATTCGGACTGCACTCAGGGGAAATAGCTTATCTATTTCATGAAGCCTGGGTGGCTGGGGTGGCTCAAATGGCTATAGATGGTGGGATGGTTTAACTGGGGCCATATATCTGAGGCCTGAATTCTGGTTGCAGTTTGTTTCCTCCGGTTTTCTCCACACAATGTCTGCTGGAGCTGAAATGTCCCAAGGTAGCTCCTTCATTTCCATGTCTGGCACCTAGGTTGGAATGGCTGGAGCAGCTTGGGCTGGCTGGCCATTACTCTCTCTCTCTGCAGGATATCTCTGCTGGGCTAGCTTGGCCTGCCTCATAGCACAGAGTCTCAGGGTAATCAGACTTCTGTGGTGGCTAACTTCAAAAATGTAAATTCATACTGCTAAGTTTAACCTACTTTGTGGCATGAAAGAATGCCATTGAGAATGCCATTGAGAAGGTGCTATAATTTGGCCTCTAAGTCCTTCATGTTTATACATTTTTTTGAGCAGAAGCAACATAGAAGTGTTTTCCATTCTTTCATCCTAAAATTAGATCAGAGGTTGTATTGTGAAGTTAGGCCAGCTCCCAGCCAAGGCTGAGTGCTACCAGGTTCCCCCTTCTTGCACTTGTCCTGCAGCCATCTTCAGTACCTGACCCCATCTGCCAGATCCTGTATCAGCTGGGATGGCTGATGGCCTTGAAAGTTTCACCTCTTTAGCACCAGCTATGTCATAATAAGTAAAGTTGTTATTGGACACATGAAGATCCAAGAAAATGTCCTCTTTTTTTTTTTTTTTTTAAAGATCAAGTATAGGGACACCTGGGTGGCTCAGTCGGTTAAGCGTCTGCCTTTGGCTTAGGTCATGATCCCCGGGTCCTGGGATCGAGCCCCACATCGGGCTCCTTACTGGGCAGGGAGTCTGCTTCTCCCTCTGCTGCTCCCCCTGCTCATGCTCTCTCTCTCTCTCTGACAAATAAATAAATAAATAAAATCTTAAAAAAAAAAAAAGACCTAAGCTGAAATCAAGAGTCAGCCACTTAACCAACTGAGCCACCCAGGCACCCCAAATGTCCTCATCTTGTAATGCATCTTTCAATTCTACTCATAGGGATTTATCTTGAGCCAAATTCAAAAAAGGAAAATAAGCTATATATACCATTTTGTGTTACAGTGCCATCTATATCAGAGAGAGAGAGATGGAGAGAGGGAGGGATATGTAGATTACAAGTAACCTATGAATATGACAATAAAGGAATGTTTATTTGTTCAAGGGGTAGTACAGTGTAGTGATCAGGAGCATGGAATTACACTGCCTAAGTTCAAATCCTGATCCTACCACTTACTAGTTGTGTAATGATTTGGGGCAAGTTATTTAACCTTTTCAGTTTTCTCATCTTTAAAATGGTAAAAACAATAGTACTTAACCTTATAAGGTTTGTTTGCAGGATTAAATAAGATAATATGTGAAAAGTGATTTGAATACTGCCTGGAAATAGTGCTGAATTAGCACATAATAATGTTTGCATTATTGAAATAACATTTCCTGGGATGTACTATGTGCCAGATGCTGGAGTGCTGGAAGTAACAAGCTGAAGAGAGCATAATTCCTACTCTGGGGAGAGAGGTAAGCATGGAGCATGCACGGAAGTACAATATAAAATGGAGATATGTACAAAGGTATCTAGGAGTATGGAAGTGGGAGTACCTCCCTCCTTCCGGGGAGAATAGGAGATGCTCCTTGGAGGAAGCAATGTTTATGCCAAGGCTTAGAGGATGAGTAGGAGTTTGCAGAATGGAGAAGAGAGGGGAGGAGTGGTGGGTGAGTTATTCTGGGCAGAGTAAACCCCAAGTCCTGTGTGCATTTCAATGAACAGAGGGAATATGGATTGGGGAAGGGGATGGCGGTGGGTGGGGAATGAGGCAGAAAATGCAGGCAACAGCCCAAACCTGAAGGGCTTCGTGAACCATTGGAGTGGTTTGGCATCTAATACATAGTTGGTTGGGCGTCACTGAAGACACTAGTCTTAGGCCTGGCTGCTGTGTGGAGGATGGATTGCTAGAAGACCACCAGAAAGCCAGGGTACCAGTTAGAAAACCTTTGCAGTAATTTAGGCAAAAGAGTACACTGTTCTGCACTAGAGTAGTGGCAGGAACAACATAGGTGTAGCTCAGGTTTCTGGCATGGGTGTCTGCGTGGATGGAGGAATGTGGTCAGTTAGGTGGAATGACATATATTTTTCAAAATGATCACAAGGAAGACCATGTAGCAAGATGGAAAAATGTTCATGATGTAATATTAACTGATGAAAGCGAGCTACTCATCCTGTCTGTACCACTGATGACTATAAACCAAGTAAACATACTCAAAGATGAGGTGAGGAAGGGACAAGAAATAAAATAGTTTGCTTTCTTAGGATATTAAGATTGTGGATGGTATCTTCCTTTGTTTTAATTTATAGAAATGCTCTTTTTAACTTTGAAGAAAAATAGTAAACAAAAATCATAATGAAATATTGTGGTTGAAATTTTGCCTTTGTTTTGGATTTCCTTTAATTCCTGAATGAGCTTTTTGGTAAGAACATAATGGAGATATAATTATATTCCATACAATTCACCCATTTAAAGGATACAATTCAATGGTTTTTAATATACCCACAGAATTGTGCAACGATCACCACAATCGATTTTAGAACGTTTTTACCACCCCGCAAAGAAACCCATCCCTATTTGCAAATACTCTCCATGTCCCCTTAACCCCTGGTCCCACTCAAACACTAATCTTCTGGACATTTCACATAACGAAATCATACAATGTGTGATCTTTGTGACTGGTTTCTTTTGCTTAACATAGTATTTTCAAGGTTCATCCATGTCGTAGCATGCATCAGTCCATTTCTTTTTGTGGCTGAACAATATTCCACTGCATGGATATGGCATATTTTACTTATCCATTCATTAGTTAATAGACTTTTGGGTTGTTTCCACTTTGGGGCTATTATGAATAATGCTACTATGAACACTTTCATACAAATTTTTTTTAAAGATTTTATTTATTTATTTGAGAGAGAGAGAGAATGAGAGATAGAGAGCACGAGAGGGAAGAGGGTCAGACAGAGAAGCAGACTCCCCGCTGAGCAGGGAGCCCGATGTGGGACTCGATCCCGGGACTCCAGGATCATGACCTGAGCCGAAGGCAGTCGCTTAACCAACTGAGCCACCCAGGCGCCCTCATACAAATTTTTGTGTGGACGTATGTTTTCATTTCTCTTGGGTATGTATTGGCTCAAAGTATAAAAGTGCAAAGGGGCACTAGGGATAATTTTGGGGGCAATGGATATATTCTGTATCATGATTGTGGTCGTGGTTACATAGCTATATACATCGGTCAAAACTCATTGAATTGTATACTTACCTTGATGAAATTGGATATATTTAATGTACATCTCAGTAAAGCTGATCCTCAAAATAAGGGATGGAATGGTAGGGAGACAGATTGGGAGACATATTAATATGTATAATGTTCCAACATTATATCATACTTTTCTGTATACCAGTATTTCACATACATCGTCTCATTAAAACCAACCAACCAACCAACCAACCAACCAACCAACCAACCAACCAACGTAAATGAACAAAAACTGTGATTATTCCAATAAGCCAATGAGATAAGTAAGAAAGTATTCTTGTGTCCACTTGAGAGATGAGGAAAATAGACCTGCAGGAGTCAGTTAAGTGGTCGGCTCATTATCACAGAGCTGCTAAGTAGCAGAGCCAGACTTTGTCCCAGCTTCCACTTCTGCAGTTTTCTGATGCTTAATCAAATTTGCTTACAAGAACTGACGGAGAAAGAAGCTACATCTGACTAGATTACATATTTGGACATAAGAATAAAAGTTCCCCCACATGCCGGCTCTTCCATGACCTAGAATAAAAATGAAAAAGTGATAACTTAAATCACAACAACTAGAATAGAATCTCTGAGAAGCAAGAACATTTAAAAATGTCCCACCTTTGATTACAATGCTCTTTTAAGTTGCTCTAACCCATGAGCTTTGATTTTATTGAGAATAGAGTGTTCTACATCTCTTCCCGTTTTTCCCAGTTTCTGGATGTCCTACGCATTTGTGTGCTCAGATCCTTTGCTGTGGTCTGCCTACCCTGCTCAGTAAGACAGGAGGACTGGCTCCTGTAAGGTGGTTTTTCTCAGGCCCTCGGGTCACTTGCCTTCCAGCTGGCAGGTAGTCAGTGGGAGGCACTGGTGTCGGAACGGTAGAATCTCCCTCTCCTATCCTTGGGTGGCTCTCCAAAGCTGCTGCCCCTCTTCCGAGCTCTCCAGCACCTATGGGGATGTGTCTGCATTGATGGTCTCTTCTGCTGGTGATCTTAACCCCTGGGCTCTGACTAAGCCACCTTCTCCCTGCATTCTACAGTTGAAGGCTGGCGGCAGCTTAATGCCGTTGCTAACGTCTGCAGGGCCTCACTGTCTTCGAGTTAGTCTCTCTGCCTCTTTCTCTTTCCCTCACCACGGGGTCTGTCTTCTAAACACCCAGGATGGTTTCTCTTCCCCTGTTTGGACTTTGGATGATAGACCGTCTGGGATCTTGGACTCGGGATTGGACCTAGGCTTTATTCACTGTAAGGCTTACCCCACATCATTTGGCATCCCTTTGTAGCCCGTTCCTCAGGCCCATTCAGACACAACATCCGTTATTCCATTATGGGTGGGTATATTTGTGCCCAAAAGGCAACCTTTAGAAAATTAAAATTTATTTATCAAATTAACTGGTCTACAATCATCTAACTGGAATAATGCATTTAATAGGTCTGGAATCTCTGAATAAACATTTAGCTGACCATTTGTTGTGTAACAGCATGATAAATTAGTCAGCATAATTAACACTAGTTTCTGTAATAAATAATTCCAAAATCTCAGTGACTTAATACAATTATTTGTTGCTCACAAAGAGTTCAATGTGGTTAGCTGGGGGTTTCTGCTCTGTGCAGTCTTTTAGGAACCTAGTATTGCCCTAGATGTTGACATCAGGCTTGCAGATGAGGGACAAAAAAGATTATAGAGGATTGTGGGGAATGTTTTATGGACTAGGCCTAGGAGTATCATATAGCAACTTTGCCCACATCTCATTGGCCAGAACTCAAGCAGGTGGCCCCCATCTAATTGTAGGAGAGGCTGAGAAATGTAGTTTAACTTAGTGCCTAGGAGGAAAAAGAAATGAGCTTGGAAAATACATGGTCAGTCTGTCACAATTTGCCCTCTGGCCAATAAATTTCCCTTGCACTTTCCTCCCACATATAGAATAAATTCCTCCCCACCCTACCCCTGAGAATGTTATCCAAAGTCACCGAATCCAGCTAAAAGCATTGGGAGATGTTCAGGCATCTCCATCTGGTACACATGTGGTTCTTTTTGGTTGAGTAATTTATAAGCTAAGAAGAAGAGCTATCTGTCCTCTGCTCCTTTCTCATCCTCAAATACGCAGTAGCAAACAGAGACAAATAACCTCAGTGTCCCATTTGGAAAGGGAAAAAATGAAAGATGTAAAGTCAATGCTGGTCCAAAGCCATAGAGCAGGCATTCCTTTCCCTGATCAGGAAGCATTGTGAAATGTTTTTTTGTTTGTTTGTTTTTTTAAAGATTTTATTTATTTGAGAGAGCGAGAATGAGAGAGAGAGAGAGAGCACATGAGTGGGGGGAGGGTCAGAGGGAGAAGCAGACTCCCCACTGAGCAGGGAGCCCATTGCAGGACTCGATCCCAGGACTCCAGGATCATGACCTGAGCTGAAGGTAGTTGCTTAACCAACTGAGCCACCCAGGCACCCGAAATGTTTTTGATTGTACTGTTTCTCCTCTATGATAGGAATGATTTCATCCATATTAGATGTTTGCCTTGCCATATAGATGGCACATTCAAATAAAATTTGTCTCTGCTAATAACTTTTGTTCTGGGAAAGATACCTAATTTAAGATTCTTATTTATTTATTTATTTTTTAAGATTTTATTTATTTATTGGAGAGAGAATGAGAGATAGAGAGCACGAGAGGGAAGAGGGTCAGAGGGAGAAGCAGACTCCCTGCTGGGCAGGGAGCCCGACGTGGGACTCGATCCCGGGACTCCAGGATCATGACCTGAGCCGAAGGCAGTCGCTTAACCAACTGAGCCACCCAGGCGCCCTAATTTAAGATTCTTCTACATGGTTAAAAGAGGGGCAAAAGTTTCTCTTGAGCCACAAGGTCTTTTTTTTTAAGATTTTATTAATTTATTTGAGAGACAGAGCACGAGAAGGGGGAGGGTCAGTTGGAGAAGCAGATCACCGCTGAGCAGGGAGCCTGATGTGGGGCTCAATCCTGGGATCCTGGGGCTCCGGGATCATGACCTGAGCTGAAGGCATATGCTTAACCACTGAGGCACTTGGGCGCACTGAGCCTACAAGGTCATGATTGCCTTCATCTCAAAACAGTCTGCCTGCTAAAGTGGCTTTGTGGGGAAGATTTGTCCTGAGCCTCTTCATCACCATAACAATAATCATTATCATTATAATAATAGCTAAATTTTACTGAGCATTTATCATGTGCCAGACACTGTGCACAGTGCTTTATATTTATTATATTCACTACAAAAACTCTATAGAGTAGACTCCATAATCTTTATTTTACCAGTAAGGGAACTGATGCTCAGAGAAGTTAATTTGCTTAGAATCACACAGCTAATATCCAGTGGAACCAATATTTGAGTTTGGATCTGTCTGACTGCAAAACTCCTGCTCTTAGTCAGTAGATTATTCTCTCAGATTGCAAGACGTTTCTCACCTACTTCTGGGGAGTCTTTCCAAACTTAATTTTAAAGCTCAGATCTTGATCTCACCATTTGGCCAATATGACACTAATAATTGCTGTAGGTAAGAATTATCAACAGGTGGAAAATTAGTGGGACAAAGTTTGATAAGAAACAGGATATATGCATATTTTCAAAGTATCTCAACACAAGATATTTATTAACTATAAAGAGAGTAGGAGTAACTTTATAGTGGAGAAACCAGGCACAAAGCACCACAAGCATGTAATGAAACTTAACATATAAACATCAAGTGACTCCTGAAATGATGTACTGAGAAGGGCACAGCATCATTTCTGTGGTATTCTTGCCAAAAACGTATAACCTGAATTTAATCATGAGGACATTAGGTATACTCAACTTGAAGGTCATTCTACAAAATAACTGGCCAGTACTCTCCAAAAGTGTCAATGTCATAAAACACAAAGAAACACTGAGGAACTACATTAGATTGAAGAAAATATGAGAAAAGAAATACGAGAATATATAGGAATATAAGAAAACATGAGAACTAAATGCAATGTGTGATTCTGGATTGGATCCAGGACCATAAAAAAACAGAAAACCTTTGTGTGACAATTAATAACATTTGAGTAAGATCTGTATATTAGTTAATAGTATGATATTAAAGTTAATTTCCTGATTTTCATAATTATACTATCTTTTTAAAACATTTATTTATTTATTTATTTGATAGAGAGAGAGAGCGAGCACAAGCAGGGGGAGCAGCAGGCAGAAGGAGAGGGAGAAGCAGGGCTCCCCGCCGAGCAGGGAGCCCGACGTGGGGCTCCCTCCCAGGACTCTGGGATCATGACCTAATCTGAAGGCAGACACTTAACTGACTGAGCCACCCAGGCACCCTTTTAATCGTATTATCTTTATGTAAGTTGTGAAGCTGGGTGAAGGATACATGAGAAGTGATTTTCACTTTTCAGTGATGAGTTGTTGGTTTTTGTTTTTTTTTTCCTTTGGCACCTTTTTTGTAAGTCTGAAATTATTTTAAAATAAAAAGTTTAAAAAAAGCCTTATCTCCCCAGTTTCCTTGTTAAAAGTTGTTTACCCATCAAAATCATGTCTGAACTAAAGTAAATGGACTGTAAGTACGTCTCCACCAGCTATCTCATCTGTTCTGCATTCTGTGTTCTGTCTCTAATAGGCGGTCACGTTCCTTTGTCCAGATGGTGCCATGCTCAATGGTGCCAGGTCTAAGAGAGAGCTATTTACACCCTAGATAGCATACACTTGTATATTCATTATGACAATTTTCTGGCAAATGAAAGAAAAATGTTTTGTGCTAACAGAATCACTGTATTATGACAGTTTATCATCATATGGAAGTAAAGTGTCTTGGGAAGGGCATCCCCCCCCAGTCACATAAAAGAACATTATGGGCCAGCAGTATACCTGCAGGTACTCTAAAGCTACTATCAAGGTACAACCTCTCCTCCTCTACATTAGATCTTGTCACAGGTCATCTCCTGGCAGGAGGGATAACCCCTTTCCTCACCTAACTCTCAGCAACACAATGGAAACCTTCTGTCAGACTTTTCAAATGTGCTGAGGCATGACGTCCCCAGGTTGGTTGTGGGACCAGCCAATGTTTAAAGAGGAATCGCAACAGAAGCAGTTGTTAGACCTCAGAGCTGTGAGATAGATAGTTGATTCTCAAAGTTTTCTCCAAAGTTTGCTGAACAGCATAGACCATTATATCAGGTAAGATGCTGTGGGCTGCCAGGTACAAAAAAATCCAGTTCAAACTAGCTTAAACAGTGATGGAGTTTAGCTCAGGCAGTCCAGAGCTCAGAAGGGTTCCAGGCCCAAAGCCATGAGGGCTCCACTCCATTTATTTGATATTCTCTTGGTTTAGTCTTCCTTTGTGTATCAGTTTTGTCTCCAGACTAGGACTCTCATTGTTAATAAATGATTTACAGGAGCCAATGGGGACATAATGTTTCTTTGTTCATATTCTACAGAAGAAAAAGAAAACCTTTCACCCAGTCATACTACAGAAAGCTCTCCCTGCAATCCGATCCACCTTAGGTCACCTACCTGCTCCTCTACCAATAACTCTCCTCAAGGGAAAGCTGTACTGTGCGTGACTTAAGTCTGAGTTCCTAAACTATTCAACGGCAAGGTAGTCGGATTCCCAAGAGGGGTTTAGAGTAAGAAAGATACATTTCCAAAGCGGAGGATAAGGTCAAATTCCACTGAAACTTCTGAAGGAAGAGTGAACATCTGGCCCAAATCAGGGCTTTGTTAGGAAAAGGAATGGAGACAATGGAAGCTGGGGAAGTGAATTCCTGCCCCTTGTGAATCTAGGGTGTTGGTCCAACATGACCCTCTACAAACAGAATATTTCTTTGCCATTTCTTCTATTTAAAAAAACGAGTTATACCACTGTGGAAAATAGTGTGGAGGCTTCTCAAAAAATTAAAATTAGAACCATCATATGACCCCACAATCCTTGCAAAGGATTTGAAAGCAGGATCTCAAAGAGATATTTGCACATCTGTGTTCACTATTCACAATAACCAAGAGGTAGAAGTAACCCAAATGTCCACCAATGGATGGATGAATAAAAATAGTCTATATAT